TATCCCTGCTTAATATTTAGATATGGTCTTTAAATATATTTCTGGTAATTTAATGTAAACAAAGGTATTTTGACACAGATGGCCATGAATGATAAGCTAAATAATAGTAACATTAAAATAAATGTAAATATATCAGTAAAAAATAATTCCTTAACGTAATTTAGCTTAAGATACATTTTGTGGATGCCAGATGCTATGTAGATTTGAATTTAATTTTATAAAAAATATATTTGTTAGTTGATGGTAGTTCAGTTATTAAAACATCATGTATTATTTAATGTTAGTAAGTGTTCAGAGAAAAGACTATTCAAACAAGAAATAACTTTAAATTAAGGAAAAGCAGTAACTGTCTTAGAAGATGAGGGTACATAGTTTCTCCAACATACTTGCTCTTCCCTCTTACATAAAAACAATAATTTGGAATTCCATTATGGGATCAGACATAACAATTTTCATGTGTCTATATTCTTCACTATTGTATTTGAGGAGTAGGAACTAAATACAAATAATTTTTGTAACTTTTTCATAATTCTCAGCACAAATTCCCACGAAAGCTTCATTTGCTGAGTGGTACCTGAATTAGAGCAGTGTTAGAGAGTGTATTTTCTTAGAATTAAGCGCACACACACATGTAAAACATATACATCTATATAATAATTTATAAATACATATATATAATATATAATATTGATATGAGAAATAGCTTTTTTGTTCTTGTGTTGTATCATATTTTAGAGTAATATATACAATACACATCTAGTTTTATATATTTATGTATTTTATATATTACTGTTATAACACAAGACCAAAATGTTTAATATCAAGATAGTTTTGCAATCTCAAGTTGATTTCTTTTTTCCTGTAAGATTAATATTTGATATGTTTATAATAAAGTAAAATACCTAGCAATGTTTTGCACGTTCTCTTTTAGAAAAAACACTAACTACTTCCAAAAGTGAACATTTCTGAGGTAAATAATGTAACTTTTCTCTCTAATGACATATTTTTTAAAAAGCAAACGGATTCAAATTAACTTGGTGTTTATTTTACAACTTGGTATATAACTTGGTGGATAATTTGACTTTAGCCATTTGAATGCCAAAATACAAGCAGTTCAGTCTTTTACTTGTATTTAAAACCTGATGTCATGACAGCAGGAACACTGCTGCCCATACCTATCTCTGTAGTTTATATTTCATAAAATACTTAAACAATTGTATATATTCAAAATATCAACCGAATCCTTTAAGGCCTGATGTTTTCACATATTTTAGGATCAGCACTCCTTTTATTTATTTTGCTTTTTCCTTAGCCTTAGAGAATGTAAATTACATTTTTAATGGATTAAATTACTTTTCTAAATTACTTAAAATTTTCTCTAGCTTTGAAACATACTGAGTATTAAATATTATAATCCTGCTTCTTTTTTTCCAAAGGAATTAATTACAGGTTAAGTCTCACAACTCCTTTCATCATTTTAAAGAGCAAATAGTATTTGTAAATACTATTATTTCTATTATAAATGAAAATTTAAGACTAGTTGTTAGTCTCACGAATTCTTTATTTAATGGAAAGCTGAATAATTGTTTCCTGAATCCAGACAACATATGTCATGAAGAACAATGGTCTAAAAGAATGAAAACACAAAATAATTCTGAACAATAAAAATGAAGCATGAATGCTTTTCTGAATATGTGTACGATTCAAACAGACAAGTACACATAAATCTACATGAATATTGCATCTGGTTCATTGAGTGGCTTATAATTTTGAAACTGTCACATGTCTGAAAATAAATCAACATTTTCTAGAAAGGAAAAACGTAGTACATTTCAGTTAAGTTCAATTGTTTCTCACTTATTTAAGATAACTATGACTATATTTTAAGTAAAAAGCTAACTATTTAAAACAGATCATTTTAATCATATAGTTTCCCATTTACTCCTCCCTGTATAAACAGAAGTGAGTATATATAAGGAGCACAACAAATATTTTAGAATATGTATTATACATATGTGTGTATATTTTGTATGCAACACACAAATGCCTATGGTAATTTTTTTTACAATCATACTTTAAAATTGATTGTCTTATCAAACTCATGGAATCTCACTATAGTCAGAGGTAGTATGGTAATGATATTTCAATTTGTCTACTTTGAGATTAATTTTAATGAAAATATATTGTTTTCTAGGCATCAAATAAACACATATCTAACCATAAGAAGCATATGTTATTCTTTCAATATTGAAGACAATCTTATAATTATTTTCTTAAAAATCAAAACCAGAATACGACTATCAATTGTCTGACCTAGAAGTATTATGTCATGCTCAACTATGACTTACTAAATCAAACAAAAATTGAATTGTAGGCAAACTTAAGGATGTTGGGGGCAATTTAATCGAATTTCAAACTACTAATTTTTGAAATAAACAACAGATTATTTCAGACATGATTTGTAACTAAGCCAGAGTCCTAGAAATTAATCTTCGTTTATCTGCCTTGTTTTCTCTTTTCCTTGTGTCTTTCTCTGTCTCTCTGAATTAGAAACATTACCTTCTCATCTAATTTTAAACGGAACGTATGAGCGTTCTATTAATGTTTTTCTCTAAAAAGTACTGCTCAAGTAAAACTAGCAGCAGATTTTTAAACTATGACTTCAAAGTATTTTTCGGTTAGGTACTATTTTAAATTATCTTCTTTTTAGGGCTGTTCAACTAAAAAATTCTCCTTGCAAGTATGCTTAATTTAAAACACCTAGAATTTTTTGAAAAAAATTAACATGGCTTACATTTCTAACAATATTGTAATTTATACTTTCCTTCAGTTTACTGGAATATTGAATATTTCTAAGGAGTGTCTTACTGAGCAAATGTTTTCTCTGGATGATATTTTAATGAATTCTATGGATTTATTCAGTGTAAGTACACAAAAATAAAACTTCAATTATGAAAAGATCATGAAAATATTTATTCATGTTTTTTGATAGCATATGAAAAGATAATCTGAATTAACTATAGTACCAGTCCAATAAGTCACTAAGTTCCTCTATGAAGGTAATCCATTTTAACATAATGATTTTATAGCAATGTAATTATGTCTTTTAGTTTTACAACAGTGTGCAAACTGTAAACTAAGCTTGCAAATACCCATGTGATCAGTCAGTAAGTATATAAGCAAGAGTGGTAAAATGAGTAGTAAAATCAGATTTTCCTCCTCTAGCATGTAAAATCCGTTAAGTGGATTTTTAAAAAACAAGTTATTTACATATATTTAAACTGGCATGGACACCTTTAAAGAGAGTGAGTATATGAATATGCAATTAGTTGATATAAGGACATTACCAATCAGGAAACTTTGTCAGAAACCTTTTTTACATTCTCATATTTCTGTTCAGAAGTTTAGAAGTGAAACATCTCTTGTTTTCCTTTCCTTCAATTAATTGTATGACATTAACTAAAACCACTTCAACTTTAGTATGTGACACAAACTTCACAGAGCTGAAATGCTTGGAATAGGAAGATCCTTTCTCGAGTCGGTTCAGACTCATAGCGACCCTGTATAGAGTTTCTGGGATCTCCACACCAGCGACATAGTTTGCTTGACTTTCCCAACAAACGCGTTAACTTTAGCCTTAGAACTGTCCTGCTTCCTTTGAGATGGGTCCCTGCAGGAATAGCCACCTCCACCTGCTTGTAGTGGAGAAATTTTTGTTGTCGACTAACCCCCTCTAGCGTCGAACTGGCAGAATCCGAACAGCGGTTGCCAGGCCGCGAGTGCGCCAGGTTTGGCCGAGCTCCTCAGCGGTCGCCGATGATCCAACCCTGTTCGCTGCGCCCCATTTGTTTGCGGGGCGAGAACCTGAGGACCGCCGACGCTGCGATGCCCCTCCCGTAAATACACTGGGTTGCCCAAGCCCTGGGACAGAGTCCACGTGATCCCACCAAGTAGCCAGCATCAGTTTCCGACCCACCCGAACGAGCGCTGGGTGTCGCGAGTGGGTGCCGCAAGGGGGCGACTCGCGCGGAGAGAACCATTCGTCCTCCGCTCACTCGGCAACGCTGTGATTGTGACCACACGCCGCCCTGTCCACCGGCTGGTCGGAGCGCACGGCCTGACGCCACCCCGCCGCGTGCGCACGGGGTCCCTGGAATTTTAGCGCCCACTGCTGCGATGATGCTCGTGACCTCCACCGCGAAGTCACCACCACTGTGCGAAGCGAATACCACGATGAGCACCGTCTACAGGCATCCATCCATATTCAACCTGCTTTGATTCTCCTCTGCTCTTTCCTCCCTCCTTTCGATTTCCTCACACTCCAAACAGCGGACGCAGACAGAAAGCTGACATCTTGACCTGGTGGGCAAGTTTGGGCGACTAGCGCTGAGGAGCGATCACTTGATCTCAGTCGCCAGAGACAACGCGCTGGAACCAGAGCGTTAGTCCACGGCACTCATCTTCTCCAGCAGCGGAAATGTGGAGAAGTGAAGGAGAGGCAGATCAGGATCTTACTAGTCTTGAAATGGTCAGTGATGCTGCTGCGAAATGGGGAGCAAAGTGCTTGGGGGACTAGGTGCGGCCTCAGAAATGCCTGGAAATCGCCTGCCAGGGCCGGGATGCTACGCAGACGTAGCGGAGTAGGAGATGTCCGCGATGCCAGCCGCAACCCTTGCCACCCAGATGAGGGGCTGAGAGTGCAGTTCGAACGCTGGTTCTGACCGCTCGCGGCCCTGCGGAAACACCTCCTTTGCTCGCCTTTCCCTGTATCGGACGGAGGAAAGTTCCCTTGGCCTCCACGTCTCTTCACAGAACTGCGCCGCCGCTCCAGCTTTTGGCTCAGCAAGTGCTCACTTCTGTAGAGAGACGCTCGGCCTCCGGAGCCGCCCGCCCCACCTGGTCGTCCCTCCCTGCTCCCTGCCGTGAGGCGCCCTCCCCACCCCCTAACGCCCCTCCCCCAAACCACAGCCGGAGCGCGCTCCTGCGCGCGCGCTCTCCCAGGCCCAAGTGAATAGTCCTCGCGCGAGCGGGACACGGTAGTGGATGCAATTCCGCTCGCCTTCAACCGCCAGGAGCTCCCCCGCGCCGCAGGCACCGTCCTCCTCCGAAACAGCTGCGCCTGCACCTGGGCAGTCTGGACCCTCGTGCCGTGCCCCCCAGGCCTCGCGCGGGGGGCGCCCCCGGACACCCTCTGCGGGCCGGGTGGAGGAGGAAGAGGAAGAGGAGGAAGAAGACGTGAACCTGGACTCCTACCCTACCCAGGACACCTGGCCGCGCTGCTCACACTTCTCGTTACTGGGAGGAGAAAAGAGCCCAAAGAGCCATGGGGGGCGGCGAAGTCCGGGAATTTCTTTTGCAATTTGGTTTCTTCTTACCTCTGCTGGTAGCTTGGTCTGGCGAATGCAGTCACCTCTCCAACAACCAAGGTAACGGACGGGGCGGAGAAGCAGGTGGGGGCGGGTGATTTGAGGACCTGTGCGCCGGTCGTCTTCTGCGGACAACTTAGTCCCCGGGTCTGCTACTCTGGGCTGTCCTCCAGAGGGGGGGCGAGAATGTCGCTTCATCAGAGCGCCCTGTTCACACCTCCCGAGATCGGGGACTTTATGAGCTGAGGTTCCTTCCTCTCCCAAATGCCTTTAAAGGGCTGCATGGGCATCAGCAGCACATGGGTCCCACTGCTGGTGTCCGCCAAACCGCTTACTCTCTGTGCTGTCTCCAGAGAAGGTCAGGCTCTGTGGCACAGACTTAATGGAGACTTCTGATTCTTGGTGGTCGCTCATAGCAAGGATACGCTAAGTTCTGTCACACGGGTATGAAAGGCAGGTTGTCACCGCTGTGCCTTGTGACCAAATATCAGCCTGTCCTGCCAGTTTTACTCTTTGCCACTGCCGCCTAACCGCAGATGGCAACCTCCCATCTACCATCCACACCAAATGTCCACTGCTTCGAAATTACTTCTAGATTCAGTTGCCCACCACTCGGTGTTTGTGGGTTTACGTTCTTGAATGCAGGGGTATATAAGCAAACGTGTCAATTTCCAAGTTGTGAATTTCCTGGCTGAGCGATTCTTTTCTGGAGGCCTTTGTGTTTCCGTGGATAAAGTGACAAAGTGTAAAGGATAGTATGTAAGAAGTGAAAGTCAGGTTTATAAATTATCTTTTTATTGAGAAACTATGAGATTTGCCTTAGTGGATTTCTGCTGTGCATATGAAAAGATCTATAAAATATAGCACCTGCATATCCTACATGTTCTTAGAGGAGGTGGTGAACATCCATAAAAGTTTTCCAGTACGGAGTTGGCTGTCTGCTCTCACTGACACTTTGATGACCACCAATATCACCTTTCAATTCACAGAGAAATCTCTAAATATAAGCGTATTTTGTCAATTATAATTACCATTTAGCAAAAACTGCAGAGTTAAAGGGCATCAAACAATTTGTGGATATAATACTGGAACTCGGATGAGTTGAAAATATGCACTTTTTTTGTGACGGGGTAAGATTAAGAGAGAAGGCAAGTAAAACCACCCGTTCTTATAATTTTTTTTCTATAAACATATATGACCAATTTATTTGATTTAGAAATGTAAATTATTTAGAATTGATATTCAGTTATTATTTATACAAGTGGTAATGTTGGCATGATTTTCTACTACTCTTTCTGTTTTTATCCTAACGAATGCATTCACAAATACATTTGTAAATTTGGGACTCATCCTATCTCTCATGTCATTGAATCTCACATAAGAAATGCCAGTTACAGTGCCATATTCTCTTATGGTGGTGTATACCTTCAAACCATATTCCTCATTTTTTGTCAAACGACTCCTGGTAATAGGCATTGAAGGCTTAATTATTCTATCTCTCTGAAAATTAAAGATTGGCTAAAAAGTGCCATGTAATTATTTATTAAGCCTTCAGTGCTTAATTTTGTGGAGAGACATTATTTTAAAAAAAACTGACAAGTCAAATATTTACATCTAGGGGTACTACAGACATACTTTGGGAGTCAAGTTTAATAGAAGCTTTAAAATTTTTTTCCCATGCAATAATTTCCCTAAATTAACTTTTATTTGTCTGGTGCCTGTGACAGAGCAATACCCACTATAGGCCCTGAGAATGCATGTAACATAAATAAAACTAAGATGTCTGAATTTCAAAATGCCTTTCACCAACATATACCAAGGGTAATAGTATGACCTTTCAGATATTCATATTTAATTTAAGGGGACAAAGGTGTTATCAGTTGACCTCTGGCAGCGATTTTTGTCTATATATTTTAATGAATTCCCCATAGTATTTGAAAACATTTTACCTAAATGACATGCCAAATATATTTTCTTTTGTGTGTGTGTTTTTATCAATTAGCTTAATGTTGGAAGGTACCACACAGGTAAATAGGATTATTAAACATGGTGTTCAAAACTCTTAATTTGAATCTGTATTAATATACTAAAAACACAGGCTATACATAAGAATACATTTGAATAAAATGAACCTAAAGGGTACATTGGGTAAGGTTTAGAAAGTACTTCATAAAAACAGTATAGGAAAAAATATCAGATTTTTTTTTTTATCAGACATAAATGATTGCTTATAAAATTCTTTATGTAGCCCAAGGTCATAGTGATTAGAAATTATCCCTGATAATATTGAGAATTTTCACATACTGTAATCATCACATTAACTAATGGCTAATAAAATATCAGACTTCTGAATGTTATTCTTAAAAACTTTGAGGAATATTTTCTTAATTTGTAGTTTCATAAATTAATAGAAAACATGAATAAAAACGTATCAAGTTTTAAACACTAAAAACATTGGGCATTACTGAACTATTAAAGTAGTATGAATATATCATAGAAAGAGTAAAATGTAAAATATTAATTTGACTTCCACAATTAGAAATAAATATCAGTAACATGATTATTTAGTTTCAAGGAGCTTATTTTCATTTTCTTAGTACTTTTTCATTTTAAGGGTTAAACAAGAAAAGCCAACCTACTGACTCATAGTGGACCACAGATGGGTTTTTGATAGAGGTACAGGCAGCTTCATTCTGTGAAGTAGCTGCTGGGTTTGAACTACAGACCTTTTGGTTAGCAGTCCAGTGCTTATACTTAAGCACCACCAGGGCTCCTTGTTTTAAGGGTTGATGTTAATTAAGGCTGTATTTTTTAAGCCTTATAGTCATGAAGGATAAATTTTCATTTTTACATAAGTTGCCTTCTTGATTAAGGATAGTCATAAAGAGAATTTTTAATGTAATTATGTTGTTGGTAATTGTTAAGTTATGTCAAGTTTGCCTCAACTTATAGTGAGATCCCATGCACAAGATAACAACATCCTCCCAATCCTTATTATGTTTGAGCTCAGTGTTGCAGCCAAACCATGTTGTTGAGGGCTTCCTCTTTTTGGCTGACCCTCAACTTTACCAAGCATGATACCCTTCTCCAGCGACTGCTCTCTTTTGATACTAAGTCCAAAGTACATGAGGCAAAGACTTGCTACTGTTGTTTCTAAGGAATGGCTGTATTTCTTCCAAAACAGCTTTGTTCTTTTTTTGGAAGTCTACAGTATATTTGGAAACCCTGTACAGGGTCGCTGTGAGTTGGAACTGACTCCACAGCACATAACCACCACCACCACAGTATATTCAATAATCTTCACCAACACAGGAACTTCAATGCATCAATTTTAATTTGCATTTGTTTATTAATTTTCCAATTTTCTCATGCATAAGAGTCGACTGAAAATACCATAACTTGAATCAGTTGCACCTTAGATTTAAGGGGATATCTTTGTTTTTAACACAGTTAAAAACAAAACAAAAAACACTTTTGCAGCAGATTTGCCCAATGCAGTATGTAATTTGATTTATTGTTGCTTGCATATGCAGTCATTGTGAAAATCTATTTTACCAAATTTATAAAATCCTTAACAGCTGAAATGAATTGATTAAGGTCTCCAAGCAGCACCTCCCTCTAAGAATTTTCCATAGTATTACCAAAAGTAAAAACAAACACATTTATGTCAAGGAATTTCCAACTCATGATGCCCTGTAGGATGGAGCACAACTGTCTTATAGGGTTTCCCAGGCTGCAGTCATTGTAATCTTTTTATGCCACATCTTTCTTCAGCAGAGCGATTAATAGATTTGAAGCACTGAACTTTCAGTTAGCAAATGAATGCTTTGGCCACTGCACCACTTTGATTCATAGTTACTAAAAAACAAATCAACCCTCTGCTGAGCAGCTCACAGAAACCTTGTAGAACATAATTGAACTGTCCCATAGGGTTTCCAAGGCTGTAAATCTTTATGGAAGGAGAGTGCCACCCCTTTCATATAGACAGACAGACAGACAGATAGATAGATACATAGACACACACACACACATATATATATTTGCCGGTGGGTTAGCAGTTGTTGGTGTTAGGTGCCATCGAGTTGGCATCGACTCATAGCGACCTTATGCATAGCAGAACGAAACACTGCCCAATCCTGGGCCAACCTCACTACTGTTGCCATGCTTGAGTTCAACGATGCTGCCACTTGGCCAATCCATCTAGTTGTGGGTCTTCCTTTTCTCTGACCCTCTACCTTACCAAACATGATGTCTTTCTCCAGCAGGGTTAGCAGTTAGGCAGCATAAATGATAATGACAAAAAAGTGAACTACTTCATTCTTTATACACAGTCTTAAGAATAACATGACTTAAAACTGTGAAGCTGTCCACTATAAAGATAACATAAATTAAATGGAGTCTCTCAACCTATTGTAAATTTCCTGGAGTTGATCAGAAGTAGAGATGTTTCTCTGATCACTTTCTCTATTTAGTAAGTGAAAACATTATTTATAGTCAAATCTTTTTTCATTAATATTGTCCATTTAAAATCACAGTTTTATTAGGTATGTACATTTTTATTTAATTAAAAAAAATTTTTTTTATCTTCTCAAAATATATAACCTTTACTTCTTTACTGGAAATTTAGATGAATATAAAAAGCAATCTTCATATTTAAGTTAATCATGTATATAAAGTAGATTGATTACTAGTCACCAGGGGTCCATTTCTGCAAAGATCATTCTGCTTTAAAATATATACCTTTTTTAGCTTAAAAAGTTAATGCATCTCTTACTTAGGTGTGGCTTATGTTTCTGAAGATAATTGGATTCTAAAATAATTCATTAAGTCAAAATATGGTTTGGGTACATGAGTCTTGTGAGTTTATGTTACTGTCAATATCATGTCCTTCTTGTTTTTTCAGGCAACTCAATAACAAATGAAACACAAAAAAGAAATAGCAGTATTACTAATTGGTTCATTGAAGTTATTAATTTGGATGCATTGGCTATAACAGTCACTGAGTTATGTGCAAAATAACAGATCCTTGGGAAGTCATTGCTTCGATTAGACACTTTTTA